GCTACTGCTATTTTTCTACCTCAAATGAATGGGAAATCATGAAACTTCAAGGCAATATTTCTCGAAAATTTTGTTATGTAGCTAATATTAATTTTGGCGGTACAAAATTCAGAAAAAAATCCTCTTTCATATTCCATAATAAAAATAAAATTGCTATTTGAAAAAAATAGCGATGACGTCTTAACTTGTTTAAACATGGCGGAAAAAATTTGAAATCTACATCAAAAAATTGCAAAAAATTTAAATCCTTAGACCGGTATCAGCGATTTTTCCATAAACTGTTATGTTACTTTTGGGGAACCCTGTATAATTCTTCATTCAAATTTTAATATTTTATTAATATACAGGTGTCTCACGTAACTGGTTCGTTAGAACTTTTTCATGTTCCACTATTCGTAGAGGTTTGAAATTTTGGTAGCATGGGTTATTCATTCGGAACTTTCGTTCTAAAATATTTTCAAAATGGCCGCCACTTCCGGTAGACCGGTAGACCATAACTTCGCTATTTTAAATGGAATGCTATAGTTTTTATTACACAGTTTAATTGTACGTAAAAAAATAGGTTGACTTTGATAAAAGTTATTGGTACCTAGCGTTTTTCGTTTTCGAGTTATTTTGGTTTTAAACTTTTTTTGATAAATTTCAACATGCTCTTTAAAACTCCATATCTCAGCCAAAGTTCATTCAAAAAAGATCTACTTTGGCACGATTACTCTTCAGATGTTGTCAAATAGATTGCCATTTGTTGTATCGGAGTATCTTATACAGGATGGTCAAAAATTTAATTACAGTTTCTCCATATTGAATGGCGAGAAAGTCGAAAATTTTAAATGGAACGCCCCTTATTTTTTTGGGCTATCAGGAAGAGAATTTAATTCTCTACAAATTACCTATACACATTCCCATACCTATTTATTGTAGTTTGTTTTTTTATTAGAAAGCTATGGAATGTTGACAGTTTTTGGTCCATGTTTGTATTATTGTTGCCATTAGTTAAAAGTTAGGTAAACCAACCCAACCCAACGTAACGACCATCACGAGGAAAAATTTCAAAAAATTGATAATGAATCTATTAGTTCTGGATATATCGAGACCAAAAGAAATCGCACATTTCCGGTCACCAGTGATGAAGACAACGAAATAAATAATTTAACGTATTTTATTGCATTTCCAAATTCAATTTA